TGCAGCTACTAAGGACCCTACCATGCAGAGGAAATACTACATTTTAAAAAGCACTGAGGATGCGTACTGTCACTGCTTTACCATTTAAGAGCTAGAATTTGGCTGGAGTCTCACAGCATCCTCTCATGATGGTAGAAATAAATGCTAAAACATACATCTCTAGTGTGTTGGATTATTATGTCCTGTGTGAGTATCAGACTTGATTTTTATTGAAGTAAATACATCAAGTATTTATGAAGTATCTGCTACGTGCCAGGAACTCTAATAAACACTGATGATACACTGGTGAAAGGGCAGGCATAATCCGTGCCCTTGTAGCATTTCCAACCTAGTGGGGAAGCTGGCCTTTAAACAAGGATACACAGATAAGGGCATTCCAAAAGAGCAGATAAAAGCACCGTGGAAATGTGGAACAGAAAGGACTGACCCCCCACCCCCCCACACACACTTCCAAATAGGGAAAAAAAATTCCTTCTAGAGGATAAATCAGCCAGGCAAAGATTAATGATAAGAGATGTTACACAGTGTCTGGGATCGCACAGTGGATGGACATACTTCCTGTTAGCCTTGGAAATCCACCGTTCTAAGACATTGACTGAGAATACATTTTTATGACATTGGAAAAATCTCTGGGAGCAGCATCCTATTATTACATTTTAAGAATGTAGACTGGGGCTCTCAAAGCACAAGATAATGGCATCTGGTTCAGGCCTGCCTGTCCAAGCAACCAATCGACTTATGTGTCTTCTCTCATCCATCTCAGCAGGCATTAAGCAATTTTTCCTCCCTCACTAGACATGTTTACCTTCTAGCTATGATTATAAAGCAATAATACTGTGAAGTACAATGCTTTCCAAAATGTAAGATGAATAAATCTGGTTTAAAAAGAGCTGATGTTAGCTAGGACAAGGACACATTTTTAATAGCTATGTAACTATGTTTTAAAATTTCTTCTTTTAAAATTAATTTAATACTAGCATGGAAGTTTAAAGAAATCTATGTATTAAATACAAGTGGAGCAAAGAACCAGCCATGGTGTCACACACCTATAATCTCAGCACTCTAGGAGGCTGAGGCAGGAGAATCACAATTCAAGTCCAGTCTGAACAATTTAGTAATTTAGCAAACTAAAAAAAATGAACAGGGATGGGGATGTAGCTCAGTGTAAAGGACTTGGGTTCAATTGCCAGCCCCAGGAAAACAAAACAAAACAAAACAAAGTTTGGGTAACATCATTATACTATTAGAGAAGCAATGTTATTTATTTTTATACTTAATACATTTATTAATACTTAATATTAATACTTAATATTTCTGTACTTAATTTTTTCCTTCGTAAACTGAAACTTTGGTAAGAATGAAAGAAACCAAGACACAGGCCCATCATCTGTTGGCTGAAGAAAAATGTTCAAATCTGTGGCCATGATTGGAAGGGACAGTCATGACGTTGGCTTCAAAGTAGGGTTACGAGGTAAAAACACAAGATATTTGCCTCCATTTCAATTTCACATCACCACCATTTCATTTCAGAAATGTTTTTCTGAAATTATTAAAGTTCAAAATGATTTTCAGTATAAGTATGTCCCTTACAATAGTTGGGATATATTTTTACCCCAAAAAATTGAAGATAGAGACCTCCGTTTAACTGAATTTTGAATATTTCATTGTTCATCCGAGATTTAGATTTAAGAAGTAGTCTTGCATTTTTATTTGCTGAATCTGAAAACATTTCTGCCGTCTAGAGCATACCATTTTAACACCAGCAGAAAGGTGACCCACCTGCTATTACTCTGATTCAGCTTCATTGGGATTGCATCAAGTTGGCAGAGTCTTAATCACATCAGCAACTCTGACTGCTGGCTGCCAAAACATCTGATAAATGAAACTGTTAGGTTTTCAGTTTTCATTTTGTGGAAGACATGCAAGAACACTGAAGGACATGTGACAAGCAAACAATAACTACACAATAATGTTTATAATTTGTTTGTATTTACCAGATATTCCAGGAACACCTAATAATTGCCAGGCCCCCAAAAGAATTGAGATATAACATGAAACCAAAAAGACAAAGCACCTATTTTCATAGAGCTTATATTGTAGTGGGGAAAAACACCATTAACAAAAACCCTTATAAATAACAGAAATGCTTCAATTTGAATGTAGAAGTCGTCTATAATTCTACACTCTTTTTTTTTTCTTATTAAGTAAAAAAAAAAAAAAAAGTAAAACAAAGCAAAAAAAACTCCCACTTCTTTTACCTCTTCAATTTTATATTTAGGAAACAATCACCAGTGAGAGATATGTGTGTGTGTATGTGTGCTTATATCATACATATATTGTAAAAATCTAAAACCCAACCCTAAATCCTAGCAATTGTGACAAATATGGAGGCTCAGTCCAATGGCTGAAGAGAGAAATACTACATAAATCTAATCAGAGAAGAGGGAATCCAGATATTTCTTCCCTCTTCTCTTGTGGCACCTGTGTCAGGCTCAATTCCAACGACCCCCTGAACTCACTTTCTCTCTTATTCTCCACCCTCCCTCCATCCTGCCTTCCTTCTGCTGTCTTTCCCCTTATATGTCTTAGATAACCATCAGAAAGGAGCCCACACAAAGCAGAGAAAATCTGATCAACTTTCCAAGGTTGAATTTTTGTTGAGAATGATAAAATAGCCCTGGTTCCTTAATATGAGGATGGAGGAAAACAAAATGAAGAGATACCTCCTCTCTCTGTCCTTCTGCTGCTCTCTCTTTACTTCACATAATCATGTTTTGACTCCTTGCTTTTAATTTCAATTCCTTTATCTGGTAGTAAGGGATCCTCCACATATGACTCTGACTACATCATCATGATTTTCTCCCACCATTTTCTCACAGAAATTCTCTGCTCCAGCTACTCCTTAAATGTTGCTTTTACATTTCCCTGATGGTGTCTTTCCAGATGTGTGGTCTCCACAGAAGACCTTACTGTTCAGCATCTCTGCCTATAGATTTTACCCTATTCAGCATCCAATTCTAATGCCTCTTCTTTGGTGATGCTCTTTTACTTCCAAGGGGATCCTACCACACTTTCACCAACAGACAAGGAAGAGGTGGAGAGGGGCAGGATAGGGAATAAAGCAACAAAACATGTGTTCTGGAGGAACGTCCACAGTGCACATCTGGAACACCGGGGAAATCAGGGAAATTACCCCTCAACAGGCAAGGAACTGAGTAGTTTCTCCTCATCTCCCCTCTGTCATTGGCTGAAGGTTCTCGGCTCTGCAGTTCTGACCTGGCCTCTGTGTGGACTCAGATTCACACCTCTGAAGGAACACCATAGTTGTCTGCAGTAGGGAGTCATCAGTGCAAGCAGAAACTCTGAATATGAAGAAATATGGGCAAGGGGACATGCAGCATTTTGACAAGCTAGAAATGATGGGTTCCACTATGTGTTTGCGACTCTTGGTTTGGATCATTCCCCCAGGGGTTATCACATCCTACTTAGGGGGAAAGTCCTAGTGTCGCAGTTAGAAGAAAAAAATATTAAAAGACTGGTTGGCTTAGTCTGGATACCCCTAGAAAGTAGAATCTGAGGCAAATGCTTTTGAGCCACTACTTTATTAAATTTAATCACAAAGACACAGGGGTGGCAAGAAACGGAAGTGAGGCAGGGAAAAACAAAAGCACTAATATGCAGTGTGCTTTACAGCTGGTCACCAGTAAGTGCAACCCACTGCTTAATCTCCCAGGAATCAATGTACATCAACAAGAGATGTATAGGAGACAAATTTATCTCCCTGTCCCTCTTTCTCATCATCAAAGGTTTATATGAAAAAGACTCGGATCTTAGGGACAGGCACCAAGGAAACTCCACCCACTCCGTGGGCACTGACAGAGGAGCCCAGGGCACCAGGGAGATAAGTGAAATGTGCATCACAGCAGGTGGAGAAGTGCTGTCTAAGGGTGCATAAGTCACACTGAATCGAATCTGAGACTAAGGCAGGGACAAGGTGGTCTGGAGATCCGTGATAGAAGGTGTTAAACAACTTATTATATGGGGTTGATTCTCCAGGTGATACGACTCACTAGGGATGACCTGTCCCTCACCCATTCCTGAGCCCACATATCTCACCAGGAAAATTATCCTAAAATATTGCAAAACATCTGCACAGTAGCTTACAAACTAAAATCATCTCTCAGCTGAAAATCAACTTTCAGTTTCATTCTTTCCAAGACATTCTTCATTCTTTCTCGACCTCCCTCTGAGGAGCAGGGTAGGTACTGGGGAAAAATATACCAAGAAGGAACATAAATCACGTAAAGCAAATCTGAATGAAATAAAAGCCCAGAAGTCTTGTGAGATAAAAGAAAGCAGTTCTCTGGTTGATTCAGAGATTCCTCAGAGACATTCCATAAGGAATTTTTAGCTGGTTTAATTTTTAAACTCCTCTCCTGCTATGAAGCACCAATCACAAGTGTAGACAGATTTTCATATATACTTATGAAATCCACATTTATTTATGGATCTTTGAGGTCATAACTAAAAGGGAAGAAGGCATTGCTTCAGAGAAACTAGAGGCCTGGTATCTATATAGGTGCTATCCTAGAAAGAAAGGAAGATGAAAAAGAGAGACATGTCTATCTGCTGGAAAAATGTGCGCATCAGAATGAACACAGGCTAGTATATACATTATTTAAAAGAGAAGAGAGAAAATGTGCTTGATTTTAATATTTTTATAGTTATCATATTTATTTTTATCTGGATACTGCTGAATATATTTAGAGTAGGAATTATGAAAAGGTTGATAACACTGCAACATATTACTTCAAAAGAAATTATTTTACTTTAGAGAAAATATTCTAAGCCTTCATATTCCTTGAGAAACATTCCCATTTAAATTCTGCATTTTATGAAGATATTCAATTACTGAGCTATTCCAAATATGGAGGAAAATAATCTAACAGTTTTATAATTAATATATAACAAATATTTTGTTAAAATGCATTAAATGGTTGCATAGAAGAGAGAAAGTAATTAATACAGAAGGTAGTGCCTGACAAATACACTTCAGTTTGAGGAAGAACAGCCACATAAATGTGAACCACCATGGAAATCATAGTGTGGTCTTCAAACTCAGGGAACAGAAGCACATTCTTCAAGATCAAGTGCTTGGTTGTAGTCAGCCATCGCTTCTTCTATCAGACCCATTTTACCACGAACTTCTGCTCTGAGGTCATACACCAGCACGTCAGTAGGCTTCAAAGACAGTGCTGCAAGAGAAGCAAATTTAAAGATAGGTTTATGCTAGTATTCAACATACTTTTATATTTAAAAATAAAAATTTTATAAGAACTGATTTGAAAACATTTTTTTTCAACTGCGAAAATTCAGTTAAATCTAAAATGTTGACTCTTTCTAAGAAAAGTAATTTGGCAAACCACAATACAATGGTATCAGGGTAATACTTTCTTCCAGAAATGATTTGGGGAGTATTGCTTCCCTTTCTATTTCACTAAAGAGTTTGAAGAGAATTGGCAGTAGGTCTACTCTAAATTTCTTGTAGAATTCAACAGCGAAACCATTAGAACCTGGGCTTTTCTTTGTTGGTTGAGTTTTTAATTGCATTTTCAATTTCATTGACTAATACTGGGTTATTTAGAATTTTTATATCTTCTCAGTTCAGCTTTGGTAATTCATTTGTATCTAGGAATCTGTTCATCTCATTTCTTCTGTGTTCTCCATCTTATTAGAGCACAGGTTCTCAAAGCAGGTACTGATGATCTTCTGGATTTCTACAGGATGCACTGTGATTTCACCCTTTTCACACCTAATCGCATGAATTTGAGTCTTTTCTTTCCATTTTTTGATAAGGTTGCCTATTTATCAATTTTATTTAATCTTTAAAACAACCAACTCTTCCATTCATTGATTCTTTGTATTATTTTATTAGTCTCAATTGCATTAATTTCTGCTTAGATCTTTAAAATTTCCTCTCTTATTCAAGATTTGTGCTTGACTTGTTCTTCCTTTTCTAGAAGTTTGAGGTTCAACTTTAAGTTGTTTATTTCAGTTTGCTGTGTATTCCTGATGTGAGGGTTCACTGCTATAAATTTCTCTCTTAGGACAGTTTTCATTCCCTCAAAGAAAAGACTAAAATGTAGAACATACAAAGAATTGAAAAACTAAGACCCCCCAAATTTAAAGGCCAAATCCAAAAATGGACAACTGAAGTGAATACGCATTTCTCAGATGAAGTACAAATGACAAGTAAATATATGAAAAAAAAGTTCAACATCATTGGTCATCCAAGAGCACAAATGAAAACAATGCTGAGGGCCAGGGATTTAGCTCAGCGGTTCCACCACCTGGCTAGCAAGTGTAAGGTCCCATGTTTGATCCCTGGTACCAAAAATAAATAATAATAATAATAATAAAACAATGCTGAGATTCCGTCTCACCCAGAAAGAATGCCAGATACCAAGAAATCAACCAACAACAATGGTGGCGAGGGTGTGGGGACAGAGGAACACTGCTCCACTGTTGGTGGGAGTGCAGAATGGTCCAACCACTGTGAAAATCATTGTGGAGATTCCTCAAAACACTAGGATTAGATCCAGCTATTCCCCTGCTGAGTATCTTCCCAGTTAAAAGAATAATACCACAGTGATATATGTGCACCCATGTTTATAGTGACACAGTTGGTAATAGCTAAATCTTGGAAACAAAGCAAATGCCCATCAACTGGTAACTGGATAAAGAAAATGTGTTTTTTTTTTTAATATAAAATGGAGTACTACTCAGCCATAAAGAACAAAAGATATTGAGGCCATACTCTTAAGTGAAATAAATGGGACACATGTGTAAATATCACATTGTCTCTCTGATGAGAGAAACTTAAATGGTAAATAAGAACCAAAATGTATAATAGATAATGTGAATTAGGAAAAAAAATTGTCCAAAATGAAAGGTAAATTTGGAGGTGGGAGGGTGAAAAGGAGGGGAAAAGAAACAAGAAAAGATGGAATAATGGATGTAAGTGTACTGTATACCTAAAATTACCAATAAGCTCAATTTAAAAAAAGAAAAAAGAAAAGATGAAAAATGAAAACAAAGCTTTGTAAATAGGAGGGGAGGGGACTGGGAGAAAAATTCCCTTTGATGAACATGATATTTAAATTATATTTATGCATATTTAAATTGTACCAATAAAATTAATTTTAAAACAACAATATAATGACTTTATTTGAAAGGTTGGCATTGCTTTTATATAGTTTCCTAATAATTCTCTACAACTCTGCTTGCAAAAGTTTTAGGTTAAGATATTACACAAAGGAATCTATTTTGGTTACATTTCAGATACACTATCTAAAATATACCTCTACTAAGGTCTTCCTCGGCAAGGTCATATCGCTTTAAGCAGCAGTATAAATGTGCTCTGTTAAAATACACTGCAGCCCAAAAGGGACAGCGCTCAATTACACATGCAAAATCTTCTTTTGCTTCTTCATAGTCATTTAATATTGTATTTGTAATAGCTCGATTCATGAGAGCATATTCATTTTCTGGATCAAACTTTAAAGACCTTGAGTAGTAGTCGCTGGCCTATAAAATGTAAGAATGATATTTTAATGTACTGTAATTAGAAGCTATCGAAATATTTAAAGTACATTTATTCTTCATTTAAAATGAAGGCCAGTGGCCTACCAAGGAGCAGTGGAAGCATTGCGAACGTTAGCGTTCTGTCACTGTGAGAAAATACCTGACGTAATCAATTTAAATAGAGAAATGATTTATTCTGGCCTACAATTTCAGAGGTTTCAACTGATAGTCATGTGGCCCTGTTCTCTTTGGACCTGTGGTGGCACAGGTCAGCAAGGTGGGAGCATGTGCCTTGAGAGGCTGCTCACTTCATGGCAGTCTGGAAGCAAAGGGAGAAAGAAAGTGGTTGCAGCCCAGTATCCTCTTCAAGGCTGCACCCTCGTGGCCTAAGTTCCATCTAGTAGGCCCCCACTTCCTGAAGATTCCGCTACTCTGGCAGTACCACAGGCTTGTGAAAAACCTTTAGCTTATTGGTCTTTGGGAGACTTAAGAATGTAACACAATAGACAATAGACATTGTCAGTGATAAAACACTCCTCTCCTCGCTGGACTGAGATACTCCCACTGCCTGCCACCCAAAGTTCATATCCCCGTGTGGAATGACAACAACAAAAAGATAAAAAGTACATTAGAAAAGAAGACAAAATATAATTTAGGCAAATAACACTTGGATAAATGAATTTTTAAAATAACTTCTAAATCATATGAAAAGGGATTAAAAACTCAGTTATACAATGAAACATGGAAAGGAAGAAAGAGAGGGGGAAAATGAGTGTGTTGAGGAAAACAAAGACTCTAGGTTATTCACAGTTGAGTGTCACCCAAAAGGTATGAAAATAAAAATTAAATTTGATCAAGAGACGGCAAAACTTTTCTGTGAGCCTCAGAAATTGAACTTGGCAGAGACAAATTCCTCAATCTTTAATTTCCAGTCAAAAATACTGTCTGGAAAGAATGTACAAGCAAAACCAAAGACTGCAATTGTCCCCCATAGTGGAACTTTTGATGATTTGCTGTTTTAAAGCTTATCGCCTACTGATAATTCCAAATCAACAGCCCCTTCACAACCAATCATGTTAAGTGCAGCCTAATGTAGGAACAGACCCGCAGCACTAACCTAGATTTGCTTAAAATACCTTGTGTAACAAAGTAGAAATAGCAAATAAACATATGAAAAAATGTTCATCCTCACTGGTCATTTCAGAAATATAAATGAAAACAATGCTGAGATTCCACCTCACCCAGAAAGAATGACTGCTAACAAGAAATCAACCAAGGGGTTGTGGGAAGAAAGGAACCCTTCTCCATTGTTGGTGGGAGTGCAGACTGGTGCAAACACTGTAGAAATTAATATGGAGATGCCTCAAAAAACTAGGATTGGATGTCCCATTTGACCAAGTTATTCTCCTGCTGGGTATCTTCCCAAAAGAATTAAAAGCATCATACCACAGCAATATATGCTCACCCATGTTTATAGTGACACAGTTGGTAATAGTTAAATCTTGGAAACCAACCAAATGCCCATCAACTGGTGACTGGATAAAGAAGATGTGGGGTTTTTTTATATATATATAAAATGTAGTACTACTCACACATAAAAAATAAAAAACTAGAGACAATCATAGCTAAAAGGTTGCACATTGAGCCATACTCTTAAAGTGAAATAAATGCGACACTCATGTAAATACCAAATAGTTTCTCTGGTGTGAGACACTGAAAGCATAAATAAGGATCAAAATGTATAATAGATAATGTGAAATAGGAAGAAAATGGCAAAGGGGAAGTAAGAGGGGTAGGGGAAAGGAAAAAAGGGAAAGGAATAAATATGAGAAAAGAAAACAATGGAAACAAAATCTTTGTAAATAGGGTGGGGTGAGGGGGTTGAAGAGAGAACAGGGAATGAGGAAAAAAATAAGAACTAAGATATATAAAGGTACAAATTCCCAACAATGAATGTCAACATATTTTATACCTAAAATGTACCAATAAAATTAATGAATTAAATATCTTGTGCAACCGATAGGGCCAATCAAAAATTGTTCAAAACAAGTTATATCACCTCATCCCATTCCCCCCACCTTTTCCCTTTAAAATTTAGCTCCCCTACCTCTTGATGGAATGTACTTGTTTTCTTACTGAACCAGTTTCTCTTAACTTACAAATCTATTCATGTAATCTCCATAAAAGCTGTCATTGCTTTTATTTTTAACCTCATGTACATTTTCTTGGTTCACAAAGCATAGCCTGGAGTCCTATTAAAAAATCAATTGCTTCACGCCTATAAAGAGGTAAGGATCAAGGTGCAATATGTACCAATCCCCCATGATGAATGTATTTAATATGTACTGAAAACACTGTATATATGAATATAATTTTTAAAAGCGAAGGTAAACAATAAGTAACTTCAGTAACACTTTGATAGGATTTGATAACTAAGTATATGATATTTCTAGTAAATTATTGTTATTGTTTATTGATATCGATCTACAGTGATTGGAAACTTTTTTAAAGAAACTGGTCCCTTTACCACATGTAGCTTAAGATGCTGATCCAACAACTTGCTAGGGCTCAAGTTGATAATCTCATCTCTGACTCCCTGGTGGATGAAAACTGGGCTCCTATTTTAAAATTTACCATTAAAGGAAGGTCACTTCTTGTCATTTAACTTGCTATGTCCAATTACCATTCAGTTTTTTTCCCAACCTCGAACAACTTGATTTTAATCTAATTCTTATTTCCTGAGCCCTACTCTAGCTAAGCAAAACATCTTCAAGCTTAATGGATTATTCCCAGTTGTTTCCTGCCAAGGCATTTCCGTGGCATGGACACTTACTATTATCTCTCCTTCCCTCCTAAAATTCCCTCTGTCCTGGCCTTCTCCTACCTCTCTGAGCACATCCTCATGGTTTTCTTCCCTGAACTACTGCTCTCTTGCTTTTCAAAGATCTGTCCTTAACTCACTTCCATCACAGGTGTTATAAATGTTGATTACATGGTGGCTACAACTCGGACCAAGGAGGCAGATTGTTGGGAGCAAGTCCTACCTTCACCTGAAGCTCTACATATATCAATTTCCCCATCTAATAAAACAAAGTTAACAAACTTCGTGTCCAGTGCTGGTGTAAGGATGAAGTGAGGTAAGAGTACTGCAAGTGGTATGCAAATGTATTAGGACTCATTCAATTACTATATATACATCAGTTTTTTTTCCTTCCAACATCTTTAAATGAAATGATAACATAGCCTTCAAACATACTCCATAAAAGTTGCTTCCTCTGACCTTTTAGAATCAGTTACATCAAAATCACAAAACCCCTCTCATTCCTAGATAATAGCAATTCTATACTACACATAAGTGCTAGGATGGGGGCAGATTGACATCCTTTTGTGAAGTGTTTAAAGATAATTTATTCCTAAAGGAAAGGTAGCCCATACAGTCACCAGAAAGGATGCAAAGGAATGACTCCAAGCATTGCTTTCTTCATAAAGTAATTTAGCCTTCATTTTAATTTACCAATAAATGACCAAGAGATGCTACGTAATTCTACATCACAAAAGCATGACTTTAATTATGGAAGAGCATATCCCTACCTTGGCTATAAGAAAATAACTCAGTAAAACACCAGTAGTGCACCTGCTTTGAACAATGTAAGTTTATATTATATCTTCAAAAGTGCATTACTTACAAAATTTAAAATCCTATAAATTTAATGAGGTCACTTGACATAGAAGAGTATCAACCAGTTAGAGGTTAAAGTGATTAGAGACCTAGATTTTTTTAAACAAATTTGGTCTGATGCCCTCATAACCATAATCAATTAAAAAGTAGATCTAATTATGTTTAAAAGTCATTTGTAGTTCATAGTTTAGGCAAACAGCCCATCCAAATGTAACAGAAACCAGATCACACACGTGTTAACGGTCTAAAGATCCTCTGATCTGTTGGGGTACCCTTCTTCCTGAGCCTAAATCTTCCTTCCAGTATAGTCTGAACTAATGGCGGAGAGAAGAAACGGGAAGGGTGTGGAAGCAATTTCCTCCACCATGAAAAGCCCAGAGCACAGCAGCACAGCTGAAGAGCTATTCTCAAGGCCTACCTGTCTCCCAACAAGTGTAGACTGGGAAGCCCAAGGATCCAGTATTGTAGACAAAAAATGGAACATATTTTAGGTGAAATATCTGACTAATGTGTCAGCAGTGTGGAGAGAATAGAGCCACATCACAAAATATTTAAAAATTCAAACTACATTTTAGATCTACATAATTTTGTGCATGATGTTCATACAGTTATTAAAGATCAACATATTTAAAAAGTAAAGGTACTCTTACGCAGATCTTAAATATCTATGAAAATAGAAAATTGCCTTGGGCATTTTATTTGTATGAATTTCAATAACTAACTTTATAGTTAAAAAAAAAAAAAACATGGATAGGACCCAACCAGAGAGTGATCTGAGATTAATGAAGTTTAAGGCAATCGAACTTGGCTTGGCTTGTCTCTCTAGGAAACATTAGCCTCCCAGCTGTCCAATGAGATTTGAGCAACAACAGTGTCATTTGTGCCTTACAGAATTACACCTTCAATAACTTCAGCCCAGCATCTAATTTGAAATGGTGGTCAACCAGGCTTATCACAGGGGTCAGCAAACTGCTAACCCTTAATGCACTTGTAAAATACCTAATCTTAGCAACTGGAAATACACGAGTCAGGAACTCTAAAGAAAGATAAAGGCTGACAAATAGTATAAATTATAGGAATAAATAGATCTTTCCTCCTCCCCTCACCCCCCATGCCTCTGAAGATGGAACCCAGGTCCTTGGCACACATGCTATGCAAGCAATCTATTACTAATTACATCCCCAACACTAAAGGATTTTCTGAGTAAAGAAAGGAAAGAGGGAACAGTGTATGATTCCTGCCCCTAAAACCTTATAATCTTAACTGGAGAGTTAACAGATCAATACACAAAAACAACTTTGGAGTAAAACCAAGCAGGAGCCAGCCCTGGAGTGCTACCAACATTTAGAAGTAAAGCAGGGCTGGGGATTTAGCTCAGCGGTTCCACTGCCTGCCTTGCAAGCACAAGGACCTGAGTTTGATCCTTGGTATCAAAATAAATAAATTAATTAATTTAATTAAATTTTTTTAAAAATAAAAAGGTAGAAGTAAAGAAGACAGGAGATGTCAGAAAAGCGGACTGAGGAGGGAAGATCTAGCAAAGGTCCCTAACAGAAAACAGGACAGAATAGCGTCACCTGGAGAACAGAATGCTTTACAAAGAGAAAAGGGCCTGTGTCCGATACTGCTGAGCAGTCAAGTGAAAGGAGAACGGAGGAGACCACCGATAACTTTGGCAAGAGCACTAGAAGAGCAGTAGAAACACAGTCTTCAATCAAAGAGTTGTGGAGGCCCTGTGGCGTGAATCAGAAGTGAGAGACAGCTACTGTAGACACCTGGCTTAAGAAAAGTCATCTGGGAAGCGCGGTAGGGAGGCAGAGGGTGCAGCCAGAGTGGGCTGTGGGGGGGATTTTTTTCTTTTTTAGATGAAGATTATAAATTCATGCACCTATGTTAATGAGAAAAAGGACATCACAAGGTAACTTTACTGTTGTTTATAGTACAGAAAGTCAAGAAATAAGAAATTAAGGGTATTTTTATAAAAGCAGTCATTAAAGCACAACTATCTACCTTGCTGTCAGAAAAGCTTTTAAAAATCTAAAGAAATCAGACCACAGAGTAAAATACTTTTAAAATTCAAGTAAAAACATATTAAAAATATAAAAATCCCCACCCCATCAAATACTCAATTAATTCAAATACAAATTTTAGGAAAACCTTAATTAATGAGAACATTTAAAGATGGTTAAAATGAAAAAGTTTATATTATATGTATTTTACACAAGTTGAAAAATAAATACAGACCAAAATATACGGGCTACTGCCAGAGAAGTACTTAGAAAAAAAACATGAATAAATTATCCTAATACAAATAGAAGGGTGAACAAAAAAAAATAAGCTGCCTACTCAGAAAGATAGATGAAGAGCAAGAAAAACTGAAGGGAAACAGAACAAGAATGACACAGATAAAAGCAAAACTCAAAAAGGTAGTAAGAGTTTGAATTGTGTAAATGCATTACAATTCAAATAAAATAAATTCTGACCAAAATATTGTCTAATACTCCAATATTTTTATTTCAGACATTATCTATTGAGATTGGAAGAGATTAAAGGGCCATACAAAAATCAGAACTCATAACCAAGTCTCCCTACTCCCAGTCAAGTGCTCAGTGACTGAAATTTAGTAAAGATATACATTGAGATGAGACAGACAATCCCATCACAAAGAAGGTTTGGAAGGAAGAATAAGTGGGAGAAAAAGTTGCCAGCAGGCTCAAAGCTGGTGACAATGAATACAGCAAGGATAGGCTGAAAGAAAATTTACTGGGCAAAGGTTTAATGGTTGATGATAATAAAGAGAGTAGACCCACACTGGTATACACATTTAATGTGATATCATAAACTGATAGAGAATTGTTTAGAAAGAGGAGCTAATGATTTAGTAGGCTGAGGTACAAGGGATTGCATTTTGAAACTACCTTTACCTAACAAAGAGGCATTTAATGTCAAAATGAAAATGTTAAGGAAAACTCACATTACCTGAGAAAACTGCCTGTGGTGAAAGTAGATATTTCCGGCATTAAAGTAAGCCAGTGAGTACTTGGGGTCTAGAGCAATTGCTGCTTGATAGTCTTTCATTGCATTCTGTTGTTGACCCATGAACTCATGAATCACACCACGATTTGTTAAGAACTCCGCTGTAGTATTGATCTGCAATATAATAGTGCGAGTCTTTAGTATCTGGGAACAGTATTTATCTCTGATTTCACGTCTGCAGAAATGGACATTATGAAATCTACTTGTGGGAACGAGTAACTGTATAGTGCAGGTAAAACCCCATTAGAGCAAATATTGTGAGAAAGGACTTGTTATGAAATTGGTTTGATGTCAACACTGTGTAGATTTGGTTCCAATAAAACAAATAATCTTAATGCTTTACTCAGCTCCTTTCCAAGGCATAGACACAGGAGGAAAGTTTATCTGTTTACCTATGTTAAGCCAAAAAGAAATCAAACTGAATAGTTGACATGCTTATTTTTCCTATGCAGTAGCAATTGTCCTTCAGTTCATTTCTTTTTTCTCATTTCAGACATTACAACATCTACTCAGATTTAGAGAAAGAAAATTCAAAAGCTAGAAAAATTTCTGTCAGTGCATTCAAAACATAAGCTTATTCAGAGATCCACTGTAGGAAGAATCTGGAGATCTGAGTTCTTTCTTTGGTCCCATCAAGCCTAGAACTTTGCTTTGTATTTTGCATCTCTTTGTATTACAAAATAAAGCAGGTGGTCTGTGAAACTTACAGGCTGCATTTCCTGAAGCAATGTTTATCAGCAATTTGATTTTTTAATGTTAAATTCATTTAGATTATAAAATTGTCAAAATATAATAATGATGTAGCCTAGGAATCACTCAGTAAAAACAGAATTATCTTCTTTAAGGTCATTTTTAAAAGGTAACAGAGAAATTCTTACTTGATCCTATTCATTGATTGTGTTACTTTAATGCCAATAATAATACAATCTAAGTAAATTTTACCTTCATGGCTGCATTAATATCCTGCATTGCAGCAAAATTAATACCCATCTGAAGACAGACCACAGCTCTTCCTTCATATGCTAGGTAGCAATTTGGATCAACTTCTATAGTGATGGTAAAGTGATTCCAGGCTTTCTGCAATTTTCCTTGGACCTAAGATAATTTTCCAGTTTTACTAAGTAATAAATAGTGAAGAACATGACAGATGTTTATGATTCTAACTCACTTAAAACCTTTGGTAAGGACATAGTTATATTGTGCTACATCTAAGGTATTTTAAACAAGAAAGTAGACCATGTTGTGAGTACATTTAATTGACTGCCTGTTTATGATGACATTTTAATTAACCAAAATATATTTAATTGTGGAGTCCTTTTTTTATTGGTACCAGGGATCAAACTCAGGACCTTGCACATGCAAGGCAGGTACCGTACAGTGCCACTGAGCTAAATCCCCTGCCTTGCAGAGTCATTTTTTACACCAAACCAATCTTAGGTAACACAAAATGAAGGCTACTATGGGAAACACCAGTGTTTCTGACTGACAATTGTCAAAAATTTTACACTGAATTCCACAGGTGCAAGCAGGAATTATATTTATTGGCTTTTCTGGTACATAATCTCCAGTTATACATAATGCATGCTATATATAAAGTAAATTTAATATGTGTTGCATAAATAAATGAATAATAGTATAAAACTTATTCTGATATGGAATTTTACGATCATTATAAATATTCTATGGAAAATGCATATAAATCTACCAACATCTGTTTGTACCAAACTTAGTTCCAACTGGAAAGAAAGTCCTCAGGAGAGGGACACCACTGACCGAATGTCAGAGCATTTCCTAAAGAAGACCAGCAGGCCACCACAGGAAAGCTGTGAGTAATTAATTTAGCATGATCCAGGGTCTGTCTTTTCATGGGCTCAGAAACCCAACCTGCCAAGTCTCAGAGGCTGACTCAGTTTAACCAGATTATTCTAGTGACTCTCGCACAAAGCTAAGAACACTTGTAACTACCAGGGGGGACTAAACCTTGCATTTTGACCAGCAGCTCTCATTCTGGCTAAACCATTTGAAAATACATTGTCATGACAAGTTCATATAATAAAAAAGAAAGCAGATAGACTGAGGTTCGATTATGAGAATATTAAACTGCAAACAGCCTCACAATAGGATTTTCTCTGCCATCTACTCCTGACAATATCTGTCCTACCTACTTCTATGTCCACAGTATTAGGCAGATAGTAAAGGAATCTGTAAATTTTTGTAGAGTAAAATGTCACTCCCTGGGACAGCAGCTGGATGGCCCTACCTCACCTCTATCAGTCAGTCCCTTTCCCAATACAGTCCTTTACTCTAAAGTGCTCTTCAGCCCTATTCAGGTCGCTGTATACCTAGTGATATCTTCATCAAATGCAAATCTGATGTCACTTCTCTGATTAGTACTATTCTCGCATTTAACTAGACTGCAGGGTATTTAAACACCAGATCTTACTAAATAATCTGCCCTTATTTCAAACCATTCTCTCCTTAGCCATAACATCTCACCAATCCAGACCACCTGTCTCTTTCTTACAAAGATTTCCAGTGGGCTCTTCCCTTTGTCCAGAACACAACATCTTAGTCCCAGTCTCTTACTTTGACTAATCATTAGTCTTTCACATCTAGATATAAATGTTAATTTTTAGTAAAATCCTCTTACTTCTCAAACACAGCTCAATTCCTTGGGACTATAACCTTTATTTTTGTTTTTGTTTTTGTTTTTTGGTACCAGGGATCAAACTCAGGCCCTTGCACTTGTGAGGCAGGCAGTGAAACCACTGAGCCAAATCCCTGGTCCTATTTTTTCGTCGATGTATTTATCATAGTTATTTATATTATTGCTTATGCCTGTCTTGAGAGATGTTTTTTTACCAGAGTACAGTATCACTATTCTATCTTGCTAAAGGGACAAATTATTATCCTATTGCTTTCCCAGCAAGTTCTAACTTGCTGCCTTTTGGAAGATGACTTAATTCAGAAATCTATATTGTTTTTCTGACCTTTTGTATGGCTGACCTTCACTTTAAAACTTTCACACAATGTTTATTCTCTTTTGTTTCTAAATAATTCAATAAGATAAAACCCATGGAATTAAGGTATAAGCTACTGCAATGTTAATCAGGTTCTTATTCCTGAAAATCATCAGGCAAATTTTAACAGTAGTTTACCAGGAGAGAGAGGAAGGCAGACTTTAAGAAAACACATGTTAAAATGCTCACTGACCAGCATTTCAGGTCCCCAGGCTTGTCCAGGCAGGCTCCCTGAAGTTATGTGGGACTCTTGCTACCCCTGCTACTTTGTATAGTAAAAGTAAGGGAGAGATAAATGTTCCTATCTGAAGAAATACCAGTAAAGGGCCAAACATATTCTCTCTCTCCTGTCCAGACAATGCTTTCAATACTCAAAATCTTATATTACCTGCAAATTATAGCATAGACTAATTCTGGCTTTTGTGCATAACGGATTAAGACGCAGTGCTTTCAGAAAGTCCTTCTGTGCTTCTCTGGTGGCTTCATGTCCATATCCCATGTAAGAATTCCCCCTTCCAATATAAGCGTCCAGAAAAAGGGGGTTAATTTTAAGAGCCTGAGTAAAGAAACTGATAGCTTCTTTGAATTCTTGAATTCTGAAAAAAAAAATTACAATATTCTGGTGAGTTGATGTTCTCTGTTGACCTACTCCATGTTTTCCTGTATTTGACTTCTGCAAAAGATTTACGTTGACCCTTGTAAAGCTTCTTTCAATTTCATTATCTCTCATGGGAGGCGAGTACATTAGTTCATACGACCTAAGAATTCTGGCTCTTCTTTGACGTTTTCCATAAGGGAAGGAACCAGCAATAAGGGACATTTTCACAGCAGAACGTAGTGGGATGAAATTCTTCTTTTCGGGTGATATAAGTCCAGATGGTACTCCTAAATTTTGTTTTAACAGCTATCAGTACCAGGGCAGAAAACATATGCTCTTACTGATAAAATGTACTATTTAAATTACGCTGGTGTACTGCCTAATGACGTTGCCATTAGCAACGGCCCGCATACACTGCAACTATCTTAATCCGAAAATATACTCTACACATCTTTCACACAATGAAGAACTTTCTAACGATGCATCTCATAGAATTTACCCCGTCATTAAGTGGCTCATGGCTTATATTAAAAATGTGTACTTGTATATATTTAATATTTCCTTAGGTAATGAAGAGAAGCAAATTTTCATCACACAAGAGTTTTTACTTCAAATCTATAGAGGCAGACCATTTCGTTGCAAACATCAGGACAGGAAGGTAGAGAAAAAAGTGAACTTTATTTATTAACTTGTAAATGAATGTGGCTACATGATTATCCTGTCTATTCTCCCTAAGGTGGGGGTAAGAGCTACTGAAGCAATAAAATATTTGTTCTTGGACATATAAAATCATTTCACCACTTCACATGCATATCTAATAATTACATTTAGTGCCAATCAACATAGAGTCTCGAATTTTTTAACATCAGATAAGGGAGCTAACATTGAATATTTGCTTACTTACCAGGTACCGTGCTAAAAGCTTAACAGACACTATTTCATTTAGTCCTTCCAACAACTCTTTAAGCTAGTTATAATCTTCTAAATTTTATGGATAAAAAGAAAAATCATGATTCGGAAAAGCTTGCACACCGGAAATAGCATAGTAAATAATGTACTACCTTTGCATAGAATAAATGCTTAAAACTCAAATTTGCATAAGGCTCATTTCAAAAAATCCATGTTTTTGCACCCAGCCATCTCGAATGCATATTCTTCACTTAAAATGCACTGTAACTGGTGCCGAAGAGCCAGAAAACTGACCACTGAACAAGGCAGTCAGAAGAAAGGCGTGGCCTTCACACCTGAGCCTCAATATGCAAATGAGAACTAATTTTTCAGTGTTGTAATAAGAACTAAATAAAAGAAGAAAGCACAGAAATCTTTCACCATTCCTTTCATTACTTTTCTCAAGCCAGTTTTAAAAGGCAATAAGTTATATCACTATTTCCGCATTTTGCCTTTTTAAAAACACATGAAATCCAGAATAAGTGCTCTGGAAACTGTTGTCTCCTAGATATTGCTCAAAAGTATCCTTTAAAATACCGTTTCCTAAATTTCAGCTCTTCTTTTATGAGAGCTGCCCTACCCTATTATCTACTGAATATTTTCCTTTGTGTCAATTCATTAATGTTAACTACATTTATTTTAAAAGATGATCTAATTTCAATACTATATATAGAAAAATAAATATCTTATGCTGTTAGTAGAAGGCAACCCTAAACATAAGTAAAACTGGAGCTGGATGCTGTAGTCTATAGAAAATAAACTTCAGGGCTGCATCATTAATCACAAAAAAGAATGTTTTTGAAGACTAGCTTTTAGATAAGACTTTTCTTTGGATGTGTCTGTAAGTTATTAGAAAGAATTCATTCTGAAATGGAGAAGTGATTCAGTTTCTCACAATGTGATGCTGTAGTTCAAAAGAGAAATTAAAATAAAACTTGTTTTGCATATCTTAAATTGGTTTTATTTGTGATTTTGAATTCTGGCAGCAGCCTGGATCCAAATGCTCTACTCCACTATGTGTTCCAAGTAGGATTTGTAGCCAGAGAAAAACTAGGAGCATATAGAAAAGGAAAGTGTAGGTGAGACAGCCCAACTGGATACAGTTTACTTCTTTTTGAAGCTTAAGCAGTTGGTTGCTAGTGATTGGCTGAGACTCAACTTCTTGTTACAAGGTTAAGTACAGTCTGAGTACCCTTCAAGTCAGGCTATAGTTCATTATGTATGGAGAAGGCTTTAAGACAAAACTAGGTAGGGAGGCAGCATAGGCCAACCTTAACAGCGCTCTCCTTCTAGTCAACCTCTTCCCCTTTGGTCAACCTCTCAAAAAATCCATGACCAAGATGTTGCACATTAACCTCACTCTTTATCACCCTTGTGAATTAGACTTATTTGCCTCAGGTGCCCCTGGGAAATGACAGAAAAGTGAGGTTTGTATAGTGGTAACAAAGAAACAGAACAAGAAAAACTTGATTGGTTAACAGAAAATTCCTCGAGGCTACTTTAGAGTCAGGGAGTTAGAGGTAAAGCTTTAGCTGGTCTGTTTTGGTATCTATTGGCTTCTTAAAGTTTCAGCTTATGTATTTGCATTTAGCTTGAGTGACTCCATTTTGTTTTTCCCAATTCACCTAATGTCCATAAGTTTGCTTAACAAGTGTGTGTGTGTGTGTGTGTGTGTGTGTGTGTGTGTGACTACACCAAACACTAATTGACATACTCATGATTCTTGCTCCATATTTTGGCTAGCACTACACAAAAGTGGCTCATCAAATGTTCTGCCAGAGAATCCTACAAAATGAACACTGAAAAATGAGAAAAGATTAACTTCTGACATTAGGGACAGGTAAATCCATATATTTGAGCCAATCTTTCGAGTTCTCTATGTGGCTTGTTACTCAGAAAACACAGGATAATTTCTTTCAAGAAAGTTATAATGTAGTTGTGTTCCCCTTTCTCAATAGTTGGCAGTTTAAAAGTTCACTGAAGGTAAGGTTACGGTGCCTTTCCCTGTGACTGCATTATAACAATAATTTTAAACATGGACTAACACTGATTATCAAGAATAAAAACACCACAGTCATTTTGTGTAAAGTGTATTTGTTGATAGGTTTTATTGTGCTCAGTATTTCCATTGAGTAGTAAAGTACTTGCTTATGATGCATATTATTGTTGTCTACATTTATTAAATTTTTCAGGACAATCTCTCTTCCCTCATATTTTCCCATAAATCCTTAAAATGTTCCTAGTATTCTTATATCCAAATGTCATCATACCCTGCCCTTCTAACCCAAAAAGAAATAAAACATTCCTTGGGAATACATATCCTGATACACAGTTTACAAAACATAATCTCTCCTTTTGCATAGCCTAATCAATTATAAAAAAATCAAAAACTAAACTATGAGGCAGTGAATTGAAGCACACACACCCTTCTATAGCATAAATGTATTACCCAAAGGCAGAAATGAAAGCTATTATTTGCCCTGGTCTAGTTATCAGTATTAACTTTAATGAGCAAATAATCATTAAACCTGAAAGCTGGAAATGGATCTTGAAAGCCACTTGTCCAGCACCTTGAAGTTGATGGTGACTAAAATCAACTCCAGAGAAGGTGACAGAGCTGAAGACAGAGATTCTCCAGGTTCTTACACCAATAGATGAAGAAACAAACTAAACAGAGACCACAGTAGAAACAGCAATTTTAGTTTTCTAGAGATGTGTCTATTATTGTCTCTTAGGTTGATGCTCTTAAATCATCAGATGGCTGTTAGCCAGTGGGAAAACATAGCAGAATTCCAAACTGCATCAATGTACACTAGCTATAAACAGTTGAGCATCTGCTACCACAAATGCAAAAGTATATAAAAAGTTTATTCTAAAAGATAAAGTGTGTACATAAATCTAATGCAATGTGCTGACTTGCAGAAGGTGTCTAATTCTCATTATGGTATCTACTCTAGATGAATCATGCACTGAGAGGGTCAGTGAGTACAGACACAAAGGCCCACAGCACTGACCACATTAATCACATACATGACCAGATGTGCCCTACCGAGTTACACAAATAAATCACAAATACCTCCCCCAAACTAAAGAATGTGGCTTGCACAGTTAAACACTAAAATGTATTTTATGCAAATGTTAAGAATGGCAAAATAAATGTACTGCAATGAGAAGTGCATAGGACATATACCTGAGTAACCTCTCATTTAAAAAAAAACTTAAAGGAGCTTTCTCAAAAAGATCTAAAAATTAACTCTACCATATAACACTGTCAGTGATTAAACTGAGCAACAAGTAGCACATTCAGCCTAAGGAATGTGGTCTCCTAGCAACCAGAAGAGTGAGAACTAGGGATACACAAAAGATACTTCAAAAGTCTGCAGCCCCATGAGTTCAAAGATCAAAGTCCTAAAATTTAAAGATTTATTCCTTTTATAAAATTTTCCAAATGAGACTTTACTTGCTGTACTCTATATAAGACATTAAACATGAATCCCAACAGTTACAAACTATGCTGCTATGTATACTATCACTTCAAAAATATTTTTCCAGAGGAAACTTCATCACAAAACATTCCTTATTGTTAAGTTCAGTAAAACTGTTAAAAACTCAATACACATGAAACTGGGACTCTGAATTATCAGGGCTTTACTGTTGATTTAAATTCTACTTTTATTAAAGAATAGAGACCCCAGTCAGGTGATGAAAGTTGGTTATTTGAAATTGCAAAGCAGTATCAGCTTAAGGAGGATCTGCCATATATAACAGTGATTACATTTCATAAAAGAGATTGTGAATTGACACACTGAGCAACTTACTGACTCTAATAGTTACTAAACATAGGAAAGAGGATGAAAGAAACTTTGGAGTCTGTTTTTAGTTTTAACAGAATGTAACAACATTAGACATTTTTGGCCAGCACACACTCAGCTAAACAAACACATCCGTCCTTATTATTCCACCTCTTCTCAAGTAAAACAATTAAGAGGTGGATTCTACAAAGCTTACCAGATTAAAATTGACAACTGTGTGATTACTTTTTGCTGTCTGTATAAAAGGACTGAAGATGGTTCTTTTAACTTAAGGCATCTTCAGAAGTTCCAGTTACTAAATTACTTTGTTCATAAAATAACAAGCTCTCTCATGGGGAAATATAACTGTGCTATCTATGTCCTAGAAGTTCCAGTTATTAAATTGCTTTGTTCATAAAAATAACAAACTCTATTATAGGGAAATATAGCTGTATTATCTATGTCCTAAAAGGGAAAATAAAGAATGTCAATTTCCTTAATAATGCAAACCATATTCTAAACTATTTGCAGAGTCTATCTACATAATTTATGAATTACTCTAATTTACTCCTTCAAATTAACTGCTGTTGTTTCTTGCATAAAAAGTAATGCTGTGAACTATTACTTGGCCCGGTATATTTTATCTTATATTAAAATCTATGCACACTGAATCTCTGTGCTTTGAAAATTAAAATAATCAAAATTAATCTTCAGATATCAAATATACATATGGAAATATAAACATCATGACTAGCAAACTTTATATCCTGTATTCTATATTATGTTTGCATTTCAAGTTGCTGATCTGCATTTTGGCCTTATATACCTGTTCTCTCTGTAACTTACTGATTGTGTAGCAATCATAAAATGAGGTATTACTGTAATGTTTAAAGTAGTATGTGTTTATTGATTTTATTGTGTTTTGCAGATATCTTCTGGTATTGTTTTAATTAGTTTTAGATTTATAATTATGTTTTTAAATGCAAAATTTCCTTGAAAATGCATTCTTTTTTGAAATCACTGTCTTCCAGAAAAATGGCTTTTAAAAGTCAGCTCCATTTTCTGAGTAACTTAAATTATTTTATGTTTAGTTACATCATCATGCATAATTTTACTCAGTGTATTGCAAATGTCATTTCTCAGTGTATAGGTTTCAATCAGCTGGTCATCCCCAAGGCCTTGATACAGGTATTTTCTCCATGTGATCCCACATCTATCCTGAGAATTCTTTGTGTCCCTCCCCACTTTTTACAGTCAGCCACGTCCACATTTTCCTCCCTTCCTTCCATTTCTTCCTGACTTCTGTTATGAGACCGTAACTAGATGTGTCCGGTAGTCCCACTTCCCTTCCCCTTTCACAACAGTTACTCTCCGTACCTGTGATGGCACATGGCAGTCGCTTGACAAAGACTGACGTCAGTCTGGCTTATCAGCGCAGCTTGCTTAAAATCCTGAAATAAGTTGGTAAGTTTTATTCATTTTGTAATATTTATGATATGTGCTTGCTTAAACTTCCCTCTAACTTTGGTTCCATGTGAACGTACATAGCACAAGCATTAAATTCCTTTTTTCCTCATGGGTGAGAATGTGTGGAGCAGAGGAGCCCCTCCACTGTAAATCATTCAGAATCTTGGGCTTAGTTGCCTTCACTTCAAGAATAGGGACCTTGGGCTCAGAATACAGCTCAATGGTAGAGCACATGCCTATTGCATGTGCAAGGTCCTGGGTTTGATATTCCGCCCAGCAAAAGGAAGTGTGGAAAACTGTTCTGTGCCTGCAATGCACAGTGAAGTACCTCATTTACATTTTATAATGTTTATATCCATTGAATACCTCCAGAGTCTTCCTTACCTAGACAGAGTAGGGAACTCCCCTGGAGAGTACCTTTAGAGTTTTATGACATTTGAGCAAACAGGCACCCAGGCCAGGAAAAGGGCCTTGTGGGTGGATGAACTCAGGCTGCTCCCACCTCTCAAAATCCACACTTCTAGACAGACCTGTGCTGTCTTGTCCAGGGATCCAGAAGACTTCCTGGGGCGAGGGGGAAGGAGACTCTGACCCTAAGATCTGAAGTTTGGGGAATCAAGTAGGATGGATCTCAGTGACCCTGGGGACAGACTGTTTAAACCAAACTAAAAGTGCTGGGTCTGCGGGAAATCCTGCCACTGTGACCCAGAATGCTGTATTCTCTTAGGAACCCGAGACAGTGTCTACCACTTAACACTTCTCTAAATCATCCAAAAACGTCTGAGGCCTGCAACAAAATAAGATCACTAAACTTAAACTAATAAAATACTTAAATACCTACAAATCAATTAAGATGCCAGCTGCATACATGTGAGATATAGACTAGTTTTAGTAATTGCTGTAATGTACAAGTAGCCTTCATAAAGCAAGAGTCCACGACCTATGAAGGAACAAAACTGACCCTGATTCCTCCCAGACAACTGATGCGGCAGGCATGTTCATGGACAGTTTTGTCTGCGATGTCATTTGGCTCGGTGAAATGGGTTGAATATTACATCCTCTCCAGGAGTCACAAAAGGAACCACTCCAGTCCCCATTCCCGAGGGTGGCCAGCCCTCAAAAGCACCAAAAGGTGCTCAGCATAACCAAGCCTCTCTCTCCCTCCCACCTCCTCCTCCCCCATCTACCAACTCTCCCTAGTTGTGTACAGGGAAAAGGCTAGTTGTCTTATGCAGCAGGATGAGTTTTCTGCTATTACAAGGGGTGGAAGGAAGGAGGAGCAGACGGGTCAAGCCGAAAGCTCTGGGAGTTATTGGAGGAAGAGGCATGAGTCACAGTCTGTGAATGTAGGTTCTCCTCTTAGATTTGACAAAGCATATTTTGAAGTTAAATGGAAGTATTTGGACAGAAACAAAGAATTTATTATCTAATCAAATGTAATCTAGTCAAGCATGCTCACAGGTATCTCCCTTTCTGAGTTGCAGCGTTCCTTCCCATCTCCCCTGGAACATTGCTCCATCATGCCCTGCTGTTTTCTGGATTCTCTCTCTCTGTCCTGACTTATTTCACTCAATTCTCCTCGCCCTGGAAAGCACACATGGCCACAGCTTTCTGGTTCATGTCACTACCAGTCCCACTGGAAGCATAGTCAGCCTGTCTCCACATTTTATAAACTGGCTCTAAAGACATTTTTATTAGCTCATTTTTATTCTCATCAAGGTAATCCCTATATACAGTGCATAGGACCTAAGAAAAATATAGTACTTAGAATGCTAAACAGTGATCCCTCTTTCCACTTCCTTTACCTCTAGGTCCCACTTCCCAAAAGCAACCATTTTCCAGCTTACTGTCATCTCCTCTGGTATTTACCTGCAAATGTCTAAGTACCATGAGTATTATATCATATTACAACTTTACAACTGTTTACTTACTGCACAGAATAGAATTTAGCTAACGGCACTGTGGTGGATTAACAAATGGTCAACTTGGAATGCCCAGCTGAACTGAATCAGTGTGGTTCTGGACATAGAATATCTAGGATTACTGTCAATGGCATAAAAAGAGAACTGGAGAAGATCTTTTGCCGTTTTCTTGGAGAAGCTTGCCGAGGCTGGTTTTCCTGAGAACTTGGCTGTTCTTGTAGTTGGAAGAGCTCAGGTCCTCCCTGTATCTGAGAGTGGCTGCTGTTCTTGGCAGGAGAGCTCTGATCTTTGCCTTAGCATCACTTCCTGGCTGTAGTGCAGATCCCTGAGCGTGGTGGCACAGATCCTTCACTCTGTCAGCTCAGGCCTTCTAGCTTCTACCACTGGCGTTTGGGCCTTCCTGGTCAGACCCTCCACATGGACTTGCATGAGACGTTGCTGTGGGCTCTAGGAGGACTCACGGAGGACATTGTCTTGGGCTCTGGGCCTTCATGCTGGACTTGTACAGGACCTTGGCTGGATCCTTTGGGTCTCTGATGTGTGGTCTCTTACACTCCTCTGCATTTGACTTTTTGGGTAAATATTAAAAAATAATCCTATACATTATGTGTCCTATATTAAATCTATCCCCTTGCAAACTCTGACTACAACAAGAAACATTTCACACACTCCCCTTCTCCCAAGGTCCCTACACATCTATGACAATTGTGTTTGTCTGTTGTTTGTGAATTAATTTATTTCTCTTATGTGTCTAACTCTTGGCTTCCAATTCAAATGTTAAATTTAGGACATTAAAATCCAGAGTAGTAGTTTGGAGTGCTTAAACATTGCTTCTCTGCTATTTTTAAACTTGTGGAATTGAATCTTTTTTATTAATTTACTATTATCATGGTAGGTTTGTAGGAAGGAAAAGGATAAAAAAATGTTCTCAACCTGGGCACTCTTAACCATAAGTTTTCAAATGATTCCTGTCAAAATGCTTCCTGATCGGTGTTCTCCAAAGGCACAGAACTATCAGTTAACTGGTATGTTCTCAGCACTTACCAAATTGGATCTCTCCATTAATCCCTCCCATAATGAACAGTTTCTCTAGTGTGACAAATGGAAAGTGTAAATAAGGACTAAAAGATACAACGGATAATGTGAAATAGGAAGAAGAGGTGCAAAGGAGAAGGGGAAACGGGAGAGGGAGGGGAAAGGAAGGAAGGGAATGGAATTCATATGAGAAAATGAAAAAATGGAAACAAAGTCTTCATATATAGGGAGCAATGGAGGGGGTAAAGGGAGGGCAAGGGAATGGGGGAAAAACAAGAAGCAAGATGGATTGTGTAAAGATGCAAATTTCTAACTATGAATGCCCTTACATAGTATAATTTAAATGTACCAATAAAATTATTTTTTTAATATTTTCTTTTTGCGGGGTAGGTTCCCCCCAAGATACTTTTCAAGATTTTAATTTTTCATTCAGACCTCTTATTCTGTCTCATATCCTTCATTATTTCTTCCTCTTCCTGCATCATTTTTAAGTTTTAATTAATTACTGTACACAGACAAAAAAAATTCACTTTTCGTCTTTTAATTTATATTTTCATGGTATGTCTCTGTCTAGCCTTTTGCTTTTATCTACTTATATATTACTATTTAAAGTGTGTTTCTTATGGCCAGAATGTATTGAATGTTTTTTTAATTTCCCACATGACATTCTCATTGCGTATTTGGTATTTTTTGACCATTCCTATTTAATGGAACTACTCATATGACTCCATTTGAGTATTTTACTATTTGTTCTCTGCCAGCCTCCCATGTTTCTCTGTTTCTTCTTTCCAGATTTATTTTCAGCTCTTTTAATATTTATAATATTCAATTTTAATTTGTCTACTTTATTTTTCACAGAAGACGACACTGTTGAGCGCGCACTTGAATGAAAAGAGGGCACAAGGCACACACAGATGAGTATGCAGAGGGTGGTATGGCCCAGGAACAGCCTTGTGAAGGCAGGAAGGGAGTCTGGCCCTGTCAGGCTCACCAAAGGCCACAATGGAGTGAGCAGTAAGGAGAGAAGAAGATGCACAATGACATCAGAGAGCTGAGCAGCATCAGATCTTACGGGCTCTTGGTTGGTCATGGTCAAGCATTTGGGTTTCAGTGTAAGTAGGATGGGAGACATCGGTGCTGCTTTATGTGAGGGCAGCATGAAGAAGGGCAAGGGTGGAAGCAGAAAGGGCAGTTGGGAAACTCGTGCAGTATTCTAAGCCCAGGGATTCTGTCCCGAGGTCTAAGTTTAGATCCGGCTCAGTACTTACTGGTTGAGAGGAAGATAGTGGTCACAATTATGAGAATTGATTTTACTCAAATTATGCTTTAGTTATAGAGCTGACAGGGCTTGCAGATCAGTTAGATGTGGGGTGTGAGGAAAGATCATGGTCTAGAATGATTCTCACTAGACCATCAGCTCCCAAGAACTAGAGCTGCCTTGTTTATTTCCAGTCCATTAACTGGAAAACCATAGAGCATCTGGAATCAAGTGAAGCCCAGTTCAGCTTTTGCCATGGTGCTTACTAGTTTAAAGACCTTATGTAACTCCTTTGAATACCAGTTTCCTAACTGGTAAACTAGTTATAAATTATTGAATCTGGGATATAACAATTGTATAATAGGGATCATGTTGTCCTTCAGTGCTGAGTAAATATTTAGTTGGTAGGTAACACAGGCTGTGTGCTTAATTTCCTAACAGCAGGGGTCCTTTGCTATTTTTCTCTTCCTCCACCCAATTCTGTTGCCCAAATTTACATAGTTTTCTTATCTACAAATACAGAAAAGTTCTTTAGCTGCCTATACCAGAGGGGGGTTCTTAATAGTATATCTCAAAGATATTTTTCAATATATCAAAAGTCTAAAGGAATTCAAATGCTAGGATTACATTTCATCATAGTGAGATTTGCCTGGAAGGTGATTCTGTTGGATAGAATCTCAAAAGACAACTTCAAATGTTGATAAACCATACCAGTCATACTGAAAGATAGAAAGAACAGGAAGGATGCTCTAGTGCATAACACTACAATTGCTGTTCCTATGAACCAAAGTTGCAAAACGGATGTTACTAAATAGCAAATCCCAAATTGCTATTTTGGCTTTGTTTCTATATTTTACTTCCAAAATTACTATAAAATAAATAATACAATTTCAGTTAAAGGGAAAATTATGAATTGGTTCTTCTATAATGAAATAAACTTCAAACTCCCTATCTTTTCACTATTCTACATGATTACATCTATTGCAATTCTGAATACCTGTTCCTAAATTTAAATTGTGTCCCCACAGACTATTCTCAGCAACTATTTCCTGCAAACAGATTTGATATATTTTCAATGGGGAAAGAGGAAAACTGAGAATGAGAAGAGCCCCAAGAAGCAAAGTAAATAATACACAAATCATTTGCCAAATGACTGAGTGTTTAGTTTATTTCCTGGGAGGTGACAGTTTTGATCAAACTAGAATTCCTTTATGTATTGACTACTTATCTGTAATCAAAATAAAGTGAAAGAATACACTTTTTGCACAGATTCTATTACTCATTTGAGGAGTTTCAATATAATTCATGTTGCAGTTATCAATATTATTATTCAGTAGCAATAAAAACTTGTTTAGCGAAGTTCTCAGAAGAAAATGGGCAAAATTCAACGAGTTCATTTCTACGCAGTGACAAGTAAGCTCACCTCTAATGCAAAGCCGTACTGCTCTAGCTCGGTGTAGATGAGGCCACGATTAATGAAGGTATTTAATGTTATAGTTTCTGCAGCATCAAGGAGTAGCACAATTCCAAAATCTATCAATGCCTGAAAGTAAAATAATTACTTACAATGTAGGTGCGACCTTTTAAAGCCTTACGCCATTGGCCAGAGACAAACGTGTTTACGCCTATGTTGGCTCTCATGGTTCTTTAACTTGACTTACAATTTGGGGCCAAAATTATCATGTGTAGGATGTGAAGGGACACTGCCATTCTTTAGTAAGGGGTGTCCACTAGGCTTGCAGATCATGTGCTATTTGTGACTCAATATCTCTTCTCCTCTCAGCAGTTTACCATGCAACTATGGATATTAAAGCAGAGCACTGAGTACCGTCTACAATTTAATTTCTTTAAATGATTTTATGGCCTTCTTCACCAAAGTCTGAGCTCCACAGAGCCAGAGTTTATTTATCTAGCTCATTGCTGTAAACCCAGTAATAAGCATCACAACCGAACATGATGGACAGTTTTTAACAAATGAATAAAACATGAATCACTGAAAATCTATTCTAATAAAACAAATAGCAAATAAGCACTTGTAGGAAAATTACTTCAAACATCTTGGTAGGTATACGCCTTTCTTTGTAAAAACAGTAGTCTAAGCTCAGAATCTATCAAGATCTCCTTTAGTTTTACCTTTTTCTTTTCCCAATTGCTGAATAAACAAAATTTTGCTAGTCTCTACTCAGCTCACTACATACTGGTAGCATCCTAAATTTGGATGGGAGTTGAATCTCTGATATTATTTTCCTAGGGAATAGTGTGTCCAAAAGGGTCATATGGATTGCTTAGAAAAGAGCCAAATCTTGTACATTAGCAGCACCTGGTAGCTGAAAATGGCAAATAAATAATGTTTTACTTTTTTACTTATCTTCCTTTCTCTGGTGTTTCCTGACTTGGCCCCCAAGTGACTAAAAGTACTGCATTGTGCAGTTGAAGATATCATATGTATACTATGTCAATAATTATCAGTGAACATTGCCAGCGCTGTACCAAAGATTCGTAATACCTTTTTTTTTTTAAAAATCTAGACTGTTGGCCCCAAATTGTCTGACCTTTCCTTTCACAGAATCACAGTATATAAAACGTGTAGGGTATCTTAGATTTCAGTAAGCAGATGAAAATATGATATAAGAAAAAACTAATGCTAGGAAGTGAGATTTCATGAAGGTCAACTGGAGGGGTGGCCAGAGGTTTTTTAAGACAATGAGTGGCCTTTCCTGGATTTATATCTTCCTCTGCTATTACTTACTTCTCAGTTTGGGGAAAGTTATTTAACCATAAACTTCATTTGCCTCATCTGTAAAAGTGGCATGATACAGTTTGTAATAGCTAACATTTGGAAACAACCCAATTGCCCATCAACTGGAGACTAGATAAAGAAGATATGTTTTTTCTATAAATGGAGTACTACTCAGCCATAAAGAATGAGAAACTAGAGACATTTAAAGATAATGGATACACATTGAGGCCATACCCTTAAGTGAAATGAATAGAACATACATGAGTAAATACCAAATAGTTTCTCTGGTGTGAAAAACTAAAAGTGTAAATAAGGTTCAAATTATATAATTGATAATGTGAAATAGGAAGAAAGGGGCTAAAGGAATAAGGGGAGTAGGAAGGGTAGGGAAAATGAAATAAGGAAAAAGAAAAAAATATGAGAAAATGAAAAATGGAAACAAAGTCTTTGTAAATAGGGAAGGGAGGAGGGGGTGAAGGGAGGGCAGGGCAATGGGGAAAAAGTAAGAACCAAGATACATCATGTAAAGGTGTAAGATCCCAATGATGAATGTAACTGTACTGTATACCTAAAAAGTATCAATAAAATTAATTTTTAAAAACTGGCATGCTAAACATTCAACATATTTAGAATCCATTAGAAATATTTTGAGTGTCTGTTGCTAAATCTCTTGGTCCAGTGCTTGCCACACAATTCTCTCTAAATAAGCGGTAACTGTTAATGCTTTTTATTGATACAGAACTGTGGAATCAGAATTCACCTTTCCTTAGTTTTTTAGGATATGATATCTGGGAGAACATTTAAGAGTATTTTATTTTTAAAAGATACTGATTTTTCTCAGCCTAATGATGACAAGAACGCTGAGAGACAGGCGAAGAAGGCGAAAAGGAAGGTGGCCGTGCTGTAAATGGCATCCGTCCCACACACTGGAGGCCCATGGTTTTACAAAGCTGCCGAAATACTGCTAACTCAGAAGCAAACGCCATCACAGGGCTCTAACTCCCTGTGTGACTTGGAAGAGTCTGCTGGCCTCTCCTTTCTCGCACTTCCTTGTCTGTAAAATGAGCAGGTTAAATGTTGGGGGTGGGGGGTCCTAGCAGCTCTAAAATCATCAATATGCTGTTACTCCAATTTGGTCTCACTTTATTCAGGCAGTTTTGACTTTTCTTTACTAACAGGGAATTGGCTCTTTTATATATCTAAGATGACAAAAATGTGACAGTTCCTTCCCCACCCAGACACTGTTTTGAGCTTCAGGGTTAGTTTCCTGGCAGGCATGGGATTGTCAACAATACCTGCTGTGCAGGTCACTGAAAAAATGATCTTTTAATTAGCTCACTGAATCTTAACAGCCCCCCTGTTAGAAAAATTAGTTATTCATTTGTTAACATCTGGGGGGGAAATGCCAATACTCCGGCTACCAGGAATTTTTCATCCTTTAGTTTCTCAACTTTTTCCCTATGAAGCTTATAAATGTCTACATTTCTAAATTTTTTAACAGATGTAACAAAATTTCACAGAAAGTGAAGGGTGTACCTAAGTGGAACAATGGGAATGGTGAGGGACTTTTTTAAAGGAATGCTTTATTTACTGTGGAAGGGGCAGAAATGAGGAGAGGGAGAACACAGGATAACAGAAAAAGAAAAACAAGAAAAGCAAACAGAACACTAAGCCTGCAGACCAGGAGATCTGCAGAGAGGAATCCTCACTGCAAAACGACCACAATAACAAGGGCTGAGAAAACTGGAGTTTTCATGTAGAAAGTATACATGGTAGTTTGCACAAGCAGGCAACAGATGACAATCAATGGAGAATGTTCAATGCAGCCATTAGTCTTTCAAAACACATGAGGGAATCCTGGCAAGGTACCCAAAGGTGGACTCCTGACTTCCTATAGCAAGTAGAAAACCTCCACGAATAGCTCTAACTAATGTAGACATTGTAGTGATCATCACTGTCAGATTGTGCAGGAAGCATATCATTTACTCAACTAATACTTACTTGATGTATTTTAACTTATATGCACCTTTCAATACATATTTAAGCACTATAAAATTAATTTTTTTGTTTGCCTAATTATAGAAATTATATGAGAAAATGTGGTGAATACTAAATGTTACTTGAAGTGCTTCTTTGGTTTCTCAAGTTTTATATGTATGCATTTCCATAAAGAATTACTTTTTTAAAAAATTATAGCAGAAGTAAAAAGAAAATACCTTATAGGTACTTTGAAAGCATTTACAAATGCTTTAACATGGTGTTTACTAAATGTTGTTTACGGATTGCTTTTTGAATTAAAAAAGCCACTGGATGCATGTTGTTCCTTAAGTATTTTAACTTGTTTATTAAAACAATCATCTCACCATTTGAAGTTCCCTTATCTTGGTGTAACATAATGCTCTGTTATAAAATGCTGCATAACTGGTTTTGTCCATGTTGACAGCTATAGTTAAATCTCTAATAGCTAGCTTGTAATTCTATAACGAAAAAGATAATTGAGAAAGGTAAATCATAATGGACTGAAATTTAATTGTACAATAAAATATTGATTCTACAGAGCTTCAGCATACTCATTTGACCATTGTGTGTATCATCTATGCATTTAAGATAATGCATTAAGTTAATCTTTCAGGGCTACAATTTCCTGGTAAGAATTCTTGGTTTCTTTCACCTACAACTAAAATCCAAGATATCAACAACTCTAGTAAATTACTTCATCGCCAGCGTTGTTATATAGCATGGAGAAAATTATACTGACTGGTAGAAGGGAATCAGCCCATATTAATCCAGAGCTCGCTTCCGTCTGTCACTCATATCATATAATCGTCATGTTTTCTACCCATATTCTCTTTTGCTTCCTCTCTGATTATTCTGATACCGTATATCATCTTTTCTATAGATAGTAATTTTCATGGAATTAACACATAATACAAGGTCTTACCTTTGCTTTAAGGAGTTATTTGCAAAAATGTTTCATATGAAATAGCTACAAAGAAAAGTCAAAAATGAAAAAAAGAGAGAAACAAAGTATTCCATGCAGCATCAGATACCAGCGGTACTGATCACAGCCTTTAACCCAGTAACCTCCTTTTAGGAACCAGTCATAAGCTGTAACAATGATTTGTTCTCAGTCATGTATTACTGTACTGCATTACTTAAAATGGAGAAATTTTTAAAGATTTAGAATACCCCAAACTTCCAACAATCGAGTGATTAAAATAAATTATTATGGAATATTATGCTATCATAAAAATGGTATCTTCAAAGATTAAGTATAAAAAGCAAGGCACAGCACAAACATATAACCCGGGCCATATAGTATCAGGAAAAACACTTTTAATTAAATTTAAATATTCTAAAATGCCCTCAATTATAATTTGATGGCAAAATAATAATCCCTTCTATATTTTCCAAATTGTCTACAATGGAATGGGTATCAGCGTTTGTTTTATAAAAAGTTATTTAAAATGCAAATATCAAAAATCACTCTTCTCTATTTTTATAAAAGCTCACAAGTTTAAATCCTTTTTGATACATTGTGGAAAAGTATTCTGTGTAGACAGCTTCATACTACAGTGACTCTCCTATCATAGAAAAAAAGTGAGTCCCTTCTTAGAATCCAGAGACTCCGCAAGTGTAGGAGATTGGTAGAGCAGGCAGGACGTGGCCTACCTTGCTGTAGTATTTCAGAACTCCTCTGTACAGATAGGCACGCACACTCTGAGGGTAAATTTTGATGGCCTCATTACAATTCAAAATTGCTTTTGAGTATCTGCCTTTTAAACCATAGAAGGCCACTCTGCTTAAATATGCCTTTTCAGAAAAAGAGAAGTGAAACAGACATTTTAGTAACACCATCAATTCTATATAATTTATGGAACTTTGAACAAATCTATGCAATCCCAAAATAATCTTTCCCCCACTCTCTTTTATTAAGGGAATTTAAAGTACACAGAATGACTGAAACAATAGCATAACATTCATATACCTACTACTTGGATTCCATAGTCATTAACGTTTTGCCTGTTGTATTTGTTTTATCTATTTTTTTTCCTGAACTATTGGAAAATACCTTGTAAACATCATAATTCTTCACTCTACTGGCTCCAGTGTACACTTTCTGCAAAGAAAGGCCTTGCTTTATGCAACCACATTGGTATTATATAAGATTTATATAATTTCCTAAAATTATCCAAAATTTAGTCGACACAAATTTCATAGAATTTTAAAATCAGGATCAAGTCAGACTTTACTTATTGAAGCTTATGTTGTGCCTATCTATAGTCTATTACAAGTCAGAAATCAATGTGATGGCAAAACGAGACAAATAAAATTAATAAAAGCAAAAAAGTATTAATAGCTAAATTCATATATTAGCAATATTTACATACAATCACAATTCACAAAGCACTTTTATGAACATAATGTTCCTGTTGGAAATACCACCTTTAGTTTGAGGAGCAATACAGGTATCTGCATTATAATACAGTTAATTGAAAAGTAGTAGCAATTGTTAGTGGCAGTTGTTGTCACTAGCGAATAGCAGTAGCATAAAAAGATTTAATAATTTTACCAAAATTAACACACTTTGAATCACTGATAGCATTTAAATGAAAATACCTGGTAATGTTTTGGATTGAGAGCAATTGCACGATTAAAATCCAGAATCGAGTTATCCCTCTGGAGTTTCACTTTACAGAGCCCTCGTTGATAGAAGCCTTCTGCAAAATCAGGATTTGCCTTCACAGCTTTTGTAAAACAATCAAAAGCCTAGAAAAGTGTGTTATTAAAGCACATCACTTAAAGACAGAACATACTATTTTTAAAGGTTAATAAATTACAATTATGTAACTATTATTGGAAAGTTTCACTCTAGTTTTGATCATTTTTAAATGCATTCTCTTAATGAACCTCATGTGACAAAGAAAAATAATATTTAGGAACAAGCGAGGGTAATTATTATGATTAAAGGCTCCCTTATTTCCAGACTAAATCTATAGAATTCAAGTTACTAGATTAAAATGCTCTTGGGGTATAATTTTAATCATTATTCTTTAAGTTTCATTTCTTAAAAGCAATCCTGATCAGGGACATTTATTTTTTCCTGATAATTCAAAAACCGTAGCAGATACATAGTCATAAAATTTCAGAGCAATAGAACTCCAAAATTTTTCCCAAGATTATACAATCAAAGCTGAGTTTTCTCTAGTTGTCTCAAATGACTAAAAGCATGGAAAAGATTGTAATTAATGAGATAGTTACTTGAATTTCTCAGTGGACAAGTAATCAAGGCAATTCTTTCTCTAAGTTATGAAAATCCAATTTTAAGACACTGTCTCCTTTATAACATAAAGAGTGCAGTGTGTGTATGTGTAATATATAAAACCAGCCATTGGATAATATCAATTATTCTACATATTTATGATATCCGTGACAATGCTGAAGTGTGTAAAATAGTCAAAGACTGGATAAATGCATAATTGAATCAACGCATTTTCAATGAATCTTAAAAACCAATTTCAATCTGACTTGCATTGTGCAAGCACCAGGAAGAGCAGTCAGAGTGTTCTAATCATTTCCCATTTTTTTCTACAAAACATCAGCCACTCAATTTAAACTGTTTGCCATTTAATAATTACATTGATGTGATAAAATTATTTTGATATAACAATTTTCTACAGTTAGATTTGTTTATGTGGGAAGCACATATTAGTCTTTAGAATACTGCCGATAAACTATAATCAAATAAAACTAAAATCAAATGGAATTTATTAAATGAAATAACTCAGTAATTTCAGGTGCAGGCTGACTATACTAAGTCACACTTGAAAAGCAGCTTCAGCTGCCTTGGACTCTACGGGTACCCTGCAGAAATAAAACTGAAAGCAAGCAATCAGTTTCTAAAAATTACTAAAAACCCATGCTTCTTAATACTTATAATACCATTTGTAAGTTGCCTTCCTCCATGTAACAAAGACCCAAGTTATGCAGACAGTCTACTGAAATAGCTACAGCATTTGGTCCTTTGTCGGAATGTGAAAAGACTTCTAAGGCCTTCTTAAACATACTCACAGCTTCCTATAATGATTTAAAAGAAAAAGGAGGGAGAAAGAGAGGGGATAATTTTTTTTCCTAATATTTATTTAACATGACAGCTTTAAACGTTAGACACAGCAGTTGTACTCTCAGTTCACACAAGTGCACACGGATCTGGAAAGGTCACGGATCTTGTCTGTACACCACACGAAGAGGACTCGGTTCCACAGTGTGATCTCAGCAAGCCCCACCCAGGTGCCTCGTCCAGAAACTGGACTTAACCAGGCTCACATACTTACACTTGTGGAGCTATCAGACCTAAATTCGAAAGGCTATTATCTTACACTCTTAAGTCAAATTTCAATTTACAGATTAATTTATTACCAATTTCCTAGTAGTTTTCCTGAATGGAATATTGGAAAGCTACTAGATAGCAGGAAAAATATCGATGATGTCTGGTGTATTTTAATCAACCATTATTTTGTCCCAAGTACTCTTAATGCTGTTCTGCTGGTACCAAAAAAATACACTACCACCTAGACTCACCTATTTAAATAGTAAAATAGTTGGAACTAAATAAAAAAAATTCAATTTTCTAAATGGAAATGTCATTTAATAGCTAATGAATCATCATATATATGTTTACCAAAATATACATGCTTGTTACTTTTTACCCCATTGACTTTCTGATGAAACCATGAGCTTTAACTGGGGTGAAGTAAGAAGAAATCATTCAAAATTATACCAAGTGTGAGATATTTGGCTAATAATTAAAATGCTTTATGCAGAAAAGATATGGTATTATTAGGAAATGAGTTGAGAGATTAGCAAATGCAAATATATTCTTTTATGAGCATGATACACAGTGTATTCATCATTGTTATTCTCTATTTTTAAGAAAATTATTTTTTCATTACATTAAAAATAAAATACAGTAAGGTAAAAATTTAAAAATTGTTTAAAGTGTCTCTACTACTTTCCTTTAGCACTCACTCAATATGTTTTTTGTTTGTTTGCTTGTTTGTTTTGTACCAGGGATTGAACTCAGGTCCTTGCTCTTGCGAGGCAGGCAATGGAACCACTGAGCTAAATCTCTGACCCCTCACTTAATATGTTTACAACCATCTTGCCGCCCATCCTTCTGTCCTCACTCTCTGTACATGACTTTGCCATTGAAAACTAGATTGATTAGCCTCCTTCTCGGTTTCTTTTCTACTTTTCAATGTGTCAATTCTTCATCCATTTTCACATTTTCTGTTATTTTTGTGGGGGTTTTGGTTTTCTTCATTAAGTTTATTAGTACTTTTTAGGTATACAGTAAAGGTACATTCATCACTGGGAGCTTTACATGGTACCTTTACATGGTGTATCTTGGTTATTTTTCCTCATTCCACTGCCCTACCTTCACCCCCTTCCACCTTTTCCTCTTTGCAAAGACTGTTTCTGTTTGTTCCTTTTCTCACATTTTTGAATTTCCTTCTTTATTCTCCTTTTCAGAGCTCACTCCTTGATGCCAACTTGTCTTCCCCATCTGATCAAAATTTATTTCCTTCCTCTTTTGGACTTCTACCTTTTCTCTGTCTCAAGTCCATAAAGATCTGAGTCTATTCCAGCCTTCCATCCTATTTAAACTAAAATGAATCCATCCTCATTTTCTCCTGCTTCTTCCATCACTTTCCTCCTTTGCTACTCTACAAAGTCTTCTCAGAGATCTGGAGGATGGTGCCATGATTGCTATGGATAAAAACCTGGAAGGGGGAGAAATAGACAGATGATGGATAGATGGATGGATGGATGTACGGACAGACGGACAGATAGACAGATATGAAGAGAGAGAGAGGTTGGAAGAAGGTCAAGGATGATGCCATGCTTCCAACTACAGAAACAGGAGTTGAGACAAGGGGAGGAAAAACAAATGTAAAGAAGTATTTCTGAAAGGTTCAAGAAATCAGCAGCTTCAATCATGGAGGAAATGAGCAATGAAATACTCAGTGAAAAATGACCCTGAATTTGCAATGAAGAAGACATCAATGAAAACAACAAGAGCATTTTATTTCAAACCAGGGTATAATTATTTTGTATGATTATTTTGTATTTTGCAAATCTAATTACCATAAATGTGGCAGATTAAAGTAACACACATCTATTTATCTCAGTTTCCACAGGTCGGGTGTTGAGGAATGGCTCAGCTTTATCCTCTTCCCTAACCCACAAAGCTGTACTTTTGATGTCAGTTGAGATGCATTCTCCTCTGGAAACTTGAATGGACAGTAAAAGCTTCTTTCATTGCCCAGCTTCATTTATATTGTTGGCAAATGTCATTTCCTTGAGACTTTCATAAGGTAGTGCTCATTTCCCAGGACCAAGAGCATCAGCTTTTTGATAGCTGTTGGCTACCGCAGTTTCCTACCACATGACCTCCACATGACACAGTCACAGCGTGCAGTTTCCTCCTTCTAGGCCAGCCCAATGATCTCTCTCTCTCCAGTCTGCTAAGAGAAAGTCTTATACAATGCAGCATAATCAAAGTAGTGGCCTCTCATTAACTTTGCCATATTATACTGGTTAGAAGCAGTATATTCAAGGGGAAGGAAATTATACAGGATGTGATTCACTTGAAGGTAACTTTAGGGTATGCCTGCTACAGTCCTGGATCTAAATGGCTCCACATTATACAAAATACATTCCTCCATTCCAAGGTCTCCAAAATTCTCATCTCCTTACTTCATCAGCCCAAAGTCCAAAATATCATCATTCAAATCAGGTCCAAATATGGATGAGTCCTTTGAGTAAATCTGCTACATACCAACCAGTCCTGGAGCATAATTCCTCTCTCATCTAAGGACCTGTAAAATTGAAGACACAATTCATCTCTCCTCCACAAAACCAAATTACAGTGGAAGGAGAGGCACAAGATTATATCCAGAGAGATTTTTGATTCAAAAAATGACGAAAAGGGGAATTAACATGTGTTATGTGCACTTACCAACTTCACACAAGGAATGTAAAACATTATGTACTGCAGACATATACTAATAAACTAAAAGACAAAGGGTGTGAAGGCATAAAAGACATTCCTAGTCCATAGCATCTCTGAAATTGATTTGAGCAAATATCCAGTCTCTTGAGTAGGTTTCAAGGCATGTGAATAGTTCTTTGTGGCTCCTAGTCCTATCCCCTGGGTTCTTGCTCTTTGGGGAGGGGGGCGGGCCTTGCTCTTGCCCTCTGGGTCACACTTATTTTTACATAAAATGTCAAACATGTTTGCAGCTCAGTTGTTCTGTTCATCTCTTTCCTGCCAGTATAATTTGGGGGGCTGACAGCCTTCCCTTTTGAACTTTGTCTCTTTTATTCCAAACTGGTTTTCTGAACAAATCATTTCTTATGAACTTTGGAGACCTCTCATGTATTTCACAGGCATTAATTTCTCTATTAAACAAAAGTCACGACTTCTTTGCAAGAAAATTCCTCCTCTGCTTTGGCCCCTTGTTATGCCTCAGGACAACTTTCAGCAGTCCTCTGGTTTGGGTAAGATCTGTAAATCATATCCTTAATCTCTCAAAAGGGAGCAGTGTGACTGAATACTCAAGTTTAGGATCTTTCTGAGATTTTAGCAAAAGGATGTTCACTTGAAACTTTTCCTTTTCCTCTAGAGCATGTTTTCTTATAGTGTATATGTCCAGTCTGGCCTCAAATTCTCAATAATCCTCCTGCCTCAGCCCCCGGAGTGCTGGGATTATAGGCGTACTCCACCACACCCAGTAATAGTGGGTATTTTAATTTCATCATCCTTTGCCATCTAGGAGAGAGGCTGAATATGATCCTCACCAGTCGTGGGTTGCTTTTGTTTAGAAGCTCTTATTTCTCTCCTCTCATACTTCAGCCTGGCAGTGCTATCAACCCTTAGCTTGGAAACTATATTAACTATAGATCCAAGATCCTAGATTATTAGTTCTGCTTTCTACGTAACTGCAGGAGACATTTTTGCTATACTTTCTACCACTATGTTAAGAAAAATCTGTCTTCTTTTAGTTTCTGATATGTTCCCAATTCGCTTCTGAGTTCTCAGTGGCAGCATCATTAAAGGCCAGATATTTACTAAAGGCCTGTCTGAGGTGATTTATGCTTTCTCATCACACCCTTTAAAAATCTTCAACATCTCCCCCGCTGCTAGGTTTCAGAGCTGCTCCCATATTTTTTGGTATTTATTAGGGTGCCAGTCTACTTCCTGGTACTAAAATCTGTATGTTCCCTATGACTGGTGGGAAAACCCCACAAATTCTGTGCTTTGAAACAACACACATTTATCATTGCACAGCCTCCATGGTCAGGAGTCTGTACAGTGGAGGACCCAGAGTCCTCTGCTTTGCGTCCCACAGGCCACAGTCAGGGTGCTAACAAATGGCAGCATCCTCATCTGGAAACTCTAGTAAGGATGTGTCTTCTTCAGATCATTCACAATGTTGGAAGAAGATTTCATTTCCTTGTGGCTGCAAGACAGACGGCACAGGCTTCTTACCAATCATTGGCTAGAGGTTCCCTGAAGTTCCACAGGCCACAGTATTTCCCTGCCATGAGACCCTCTTCACAGCCAGCTCACACTATGGCTCTTTGATCTTTCAAGACCAGTTTCTCTCTCTCTCTCTCTCTCTCTCTCTCTCTCTCTCTCTCTCTCTCTGCTAAGCATGATCATAGGCACAACATCCCATCACCTTTGTCACATTCTACTGGGGAGAAGAAAGTCACAGCTCCATCCACACCTAAGGTCATACAAGGACATAGCTTGCCGGGGTCACTTTGTGATGTGTCTAGCACAAGATGATAGAAGCTAAATTGTAGCCATTGGTAGAATGAACAGCAAATAAGGAAGTGAAGACAATGAATATAGAAAATTTCCAAGATTTGGCCATCCAGAGATAGAGAAAAAGCTGACAATTGGATAGGCACAGAAGCAAAAACAAAGTATATTTTAGCTCAAGATAAAATTTCTTTATGGTTAGATGTTTACTGAATAAAACCTATAAAGAAGCCTAAAACTGACAGAAGAAAAAATAGGAACAATAATGGTTAATGTTTATTAAATGCTTACCAGGTGCCAGCTATTAATGCTTGAGTAGTTACTTGACATTGCTCATCTAATCTTCACAAAAACTTTAAGGAAAAGCAAAATTAGGGAACTCAAGGACTGGCCCAAGCTCACTAATGGTGCATCGCGGAGCTGGACCTGGACCCATGAAGACTGCACTCAGAGCCCATACTCTTATCCAAGGACTTAGATTCTGAAACCCTGAATGAGATGAAATTTCAAATAATATAATGTCAGGGAAATAAAATGATACCATGTGAGCATTCAGCCCTCCGTCTGTCTAATGCACTTCGGAGCTTAATAGAGAACATCTACTCATTATTTATCCCCCATACTAACTTTGCATTATTGAGGAGACATAAAAAAAATCCAGAAGCAACCAACAGATCCTGAGTATGGATATGAAGTCTACCTATCACTAAGTAGATTCTTTTATGTCTCCTAAAAGACAATCCAAATCTTCTATCCTGTGAAAAACTGCAACTTTTATGGGAGAAGGTTTTACAACAACAGTAACAGGAAGCATCTTAACAAATCGTACTTCGCACAAACCATTACTCAGAATTTCCTAATGCAAAGCAATGCATATGAACAATAAGCAACTCAAAGTTTCAACAGCTAGCACTGCTGAATCAATGTGACTGACTGTATATTTCTAAAGAAATTTCCTACACACACACAAACACACACCTCAAAACCTGAGGCTGGGGCCGGGGATTTAGCTCAACGGTTAGGTGGCCTGCATAGCAAGTGCAAGGACCCAAGTTCAATCCCCGGTACCAAAAAAAAAAAAAAAAAAAAAAAA